GAATGGCTAAAATGAAATACTCAAGTTTAGTCAAAAAAATAAAAAACAAGTTTTGAGGAGGCTGTGGAGAAAAAAGAAACCACATGCATTGTTGGAGAAATGTAAACTGGTACAGCCACTGTGGAAAACAGTATGGAGGTTCCACTACTGGGTATTTACCCAAAGAATACAAAAACACTAAATCAAAAAGATATATGTGGCCCTTTATTTATTGCAGCATTATTTACAATAGTCAAATTATGGACGCAGCCCAAGTGTCCACTGATAGATGAATAAAGAAGATGTGGTATATATATTATTCAGCCATAAAAATGAATGAAGTCTTCCACTTGCAATGACATGAATGGATCTAGAGGGTATAATGCTGAGTGAAATAAGCTGGATCAGAGAAAGTTAAATACCATATGCTTTAGCCATATGTGGAATTTAGAAATAAAACAAATGAACAAAGAATGAAGAGATAAACCAAAAAACAGACTCTGAACTATACAGAACAAACTGATGGTTACCAGAGGGGAGGTAGGTGGGGAGGTGGGTGAAACAGGTGATGTGGATTAAGGAGTACACTTATCATGATAAGCACTGAGTAATGTACAGAATTGTTGAATCACTATATTGTACACCTGAAACTAACACAATACTACATGTTAACTGTAGTATCTTCTGGATGCAACAGTATACTTTCCACAGGAAGTCACCTTGAGAAACAAAGTTAAGTACAATGGAATTTAAAAAAATTTTTTTCTTGCACCAAATTGTCACTATACATAAATATAAATAAAAACATACTATAACAATTTCCATATATAAAAAATTTAGATTTACAAAACAGATCCTCAGGACTACATTTATTTGTTTTTTAAAATAACTTATAAAAGAATCTTCAAATATCTCTCCCCTGTATGAACATACTTACATTTCATTTTTATTAATTTTCTGTAGAGGAGATATTCTGCATCGGTTCAGACACGCCTTTAATATTTCAGCAAGATACTAAGCATATAATTTATGAAATTTTTCTAGGAAACCCACTTTCATTCATGAGAGATATATCCAAAAATGATCACTTTGGAACACAGGCCATGAATTCTTATTATCTTAATGAATTTTCCTTGAAATGACACAATGTCTTTGAGTCTCATGACATATATAAATAGAGAAACATATGCCATCACATATACTTGCAAGTATTAGTCTCAAATCAAACTTTGAATCCCTAATTTCAAATAGTACCATATAACCTTACAATTAGTGCAAACAGTTTAAGTAGCACTTTTTCATTCATTCTAGCTTATTATATGTGAGACATATGTAATCAATTGCTAAACTACTTTTATCCAGTGTACAGATGAAAGAATAAGATTTATCCCTAAGTTACGATTCTATAAACCTAAGGTCATTGCAGATTGCTATGCTAGGCCACATGGTAGAAAAATAGGTATGAATACTTAATATCGGTAAAATAAAAAATAAACTTCATATGTAGTTCTAATTAAAAAACATATTTTGACCTAATTTCTGGACAACAATTAAAAATTTAGTAGAAAAGTTTTTTTAAGTTAAATTCCTAACTGTTGCATTGATGAGTGAAAAGTCAGAAGAGTTATGGTATTATTGATCTACCAATATTGATCTACACCTAAATTAGGTGCAATTTATCTATAATTTTATTTCCCAAAGTATGTATCTTGAAACACTACATTATACTGTCAAAAAGGTTCAGAAAACATTGCAAATTTCATTCTTCTTGGAGACTTGCATTGTATAAACTCTTGGAAATTCTGCAGTTACAAAAATAATGTAGATTTATTTAATCCATCATTTCTCAAGTTTATCAATATCTTGGTATTATTAGTGTGATTGGAAATGGGATTGATGATAGGAATGAAGGGATTAAAACAAACAGACTGTACCAAAATCATTTGTATTGTATTGTGGAATATATGTGATTTTATCAGATTTTCTTTCTTAGAAGGATATATTAAGAAGATAACTGTCTCTAGGCATAGCAACTAGACTAAATGCAAAATAGGCGCATGTTGGGTACCAAGAAAAAGACATGGGATACTCAGAGTTTACTCAGGTTTTATACAAAGTACGTTAGACACTGGTGTAAAATGAAAACTGGACATGCATATTTTATCCTCTAGGATCACATCTAAAGTGTAAGGAAAGACAGTAAAAAGAATAAGCAGTTCATTTATTAAAATGCTGACATCCAGCATACTTACACTGCCCATTCAAGCTTCTCATTCTTAATTGAGTTGTACAGAGCCTGTAAAGAGAGAAAATAAGACGGAATTATTCTTTTCGTACTGTTCCATATTTTTAATCCAGCAAATGACCAAAGCCAAAAGGCTTGACTGAGCAGCAAGCAACTCCCAAGCCCTTTGTTGGCCACCCTGCTGGCTCTACAAAGATGAGGAATACACAAGGTGAGGCAAACGAGCATAGGGTAAGCAGTATTTTGTGAAACAGATTTTTCACAAAGTAAAAAATGGCTTTTATAAATAAGACACACAACACTGTATGACATTTTAGTAAATATTAGGATATAATTAAAATTAGACCATGTACTCTATTCTTCTTATTCAAAATATGGTCTTGTAGTTTCACTAGTTTAGATACTAAAGTGTGCATACCTTTTTCATTGATGTAATAAGTAAAACTGTTTTCATAAAAATTTAACGAGCAAAATACATTTGAGGAGGACTAAAGCCAGATTATGGAAAACCATCTTAGAATAATTTCAGAGTTTTTATACCAATGACTTAAGCAGTTTTTAGCAGTCTAACTTCATAATTGTGCTTTACAGTTAGTATTACATTGGTGTGAGGTGGTGGAGAGGAAAGACAGAAAACTTCCTTAGAGCCTGGGTAATAATAATGACATTTGGCCTGATCACCTCTGATTCTCCAAGCTCTGGCATTATGTATAAGGTCCTTGTAATCAAGTTGTTCCACCATGATAACTACCCAAGAAAATGCTACTCCACATCTCTATTTCCTTAATTTTGAGTAAGATGTTGTAAAGAAAACACAAATAGATATCTAAGCCACCACAACAAATTATACTGAAGAAAAGGATATGTGCAGGATAACATTAGAATGATGTCAGAACATTTTTCTTCAAAGAAGGACTTGAACCTATTCAATTCAGCAGATTCAGTACAAATATATTTAGGTTACAGGTTTTATATTACTTAAGATTTAACACACGTACCCTTAGCCAGTATTCACAGACTCTGTGGGATTTCTGCCTAGTAGCTACAACAGTTTAATTAACTACTGGATAATTATGAAGCTAATAAAAACTAGGAGACATTTCATCATTATCAGGATGTGGTAAAATGTGTCCTCAAATACAAAAACTCATAGAACATCAAATTAAAATAAGGGGTAAACTGAGGTACAAAGACCATGCTGTAAGTTGGATATTCTTTTTGAAGAACTCAAATTTACTGAAGAACTACAACAATCTATTTTTTAGCAAAATGTCTCATGAGGTTGCACTTATTTAGAAGTGCAGAGAGAGTAGATGTCTAACTCAAGCCTTAGGAGACTCTTGATAGATAGATGTCCTTTAAATGGATTCCACTACTTGCATTAGCCATTTTGAACCCACAAGTAATGGTGAGTTGAGAAACTTCAGCTGAAAAGAGATCATTAAAGGTTCTTTATATACTATCACACTCAATACTACCTAGAGTAATTTAACAATGCAATAAAGATAAAAAAAATCTATTCATAAAGGTAGATAGCTTAAAATGATATCCAAGCATCTAAAACTTTTCTAATACATTTAATTCTGTCCTAGAACAAGTTTTTCTTTCAAATTTTTTGCCCATGAGAATATTTTGCTTAATGAGATACCGAGTTCTTAAATAGAAAATTCTTGTTCAGCTGCATATCATGCAACAAAAATCTATCATAAAGTATCTTGAAAAATTCAACAAACTTACCAAAGTGTGGACTTCTCCCAGTGTATATATTATCTAGAAAATATTATATAGCATATAATATATGCTACATAATGCTAATAACATATATATTATATAGACAAATCTAAAAGGTAGATGCTATCCTTATCCTTTCCAATTGCAAAATTACAAAGGGATTTTCTTGAATCTTTCTGGTGCTTTATAATGGCACACTATTTTACCAAAAAAAGGAAATTATGCTTTGCACATGTATCAAACACTTCTATATCCTTCATCACAACTTCCTATCCTTTTATTTACTTAGCTTAGTTAAGAACTGAATTCCTTTGGGGCACATAGGTGGCTCAGTCAGTTGAGGTCCAATCCTTGATTTTGGTTCATGTCAGGATCCCAGGGTCCTGCAATAGAGCCCCTTGTCAGGCTCTGTGCTGACAGCATGGAGCTTGCTTGGTATTCTTTCTCTTACTCTCTCTGCCCCTTTGCTGCTTGCTCTCTCTCTCTCTCTCTCTCTCTCTCTCTCTCAAAATAAATAAATAAACATTCTAAAAATAAATAAAACTTAAGAAAAAAAAGAATTCAATTCCCTTGATTCCTTCTTATCTTTAGCTCCACAGTCATCCCTTTCGTTCCTGTGTATCCTATACCCCACACTCTATCACATCAACAAATCTTGTTTTTATTAATTACCTTCAAGTTCTTTGTCCCACTGCCTCTCTGTTGTACCTAAAGAGAAAGATTGAAACTCTTGACCCATCCTACTCTGACTTCTCCACATTTATATCCCCTGTATTAGTTAAGGTTTCTTAGTTTAAAATACACATACCAAAACTCTAACTACCTTAAGCATGAGGAGGACCATAGAAAGACATGGATGGAGCTGGCCTCAGGGACAAAGGTATTTAACTCTCAAGTATTTTCCTCATTCCACCTCAAACATCTCCACTCCTTGTTTCTTTACTACACAAAAACCATGTCTACAACAAGCAACACTCATGTGTATCTTTCATGACTGTCAACAAGAGATAACAGTTCTTTCTCCTAACTTCAGTTTGAAAAGATTGTAATTGGTGTGGTTTAGATCACCTGTCCTCCCCTAATTCATGTGGCGAGATGAGGTATAATGATTGGGACTATCCCTGGAGTCAGTGAGGCTGGGGTATGTATTAAAGAGGGGGTAGTATAGACGTAGCCACTAGTGTGTAATCCTCCTGAGCTTTAAAGCCTCCCCTATTTGTATATAACTAATTCAGCAATAATAGAGAAAATTAAACAACAGCACAAATTAATGCCATTGAATATTCATCATCTCAAACTTTAGGAGAGACTTCATTCAATAGCCTCCCGACTTTTTGCCATCTTCCTTAAAATGTATCTGCACTGGCATCTATCCTTTTTTGCCTTTCTGATGGTAATTAAAGGGATATCCTGTCCCTACAAGGCTAGGCATCTATCACTGGTCCTGACAGTTCCCTTTCTGCGGTAACATCTCCTCCTTTATTAGCTCCTTTCTATCAGCTTTGAAACATGTGCAAGTCTCTCCAAACCCCACTTCCATAATTTAGTTACCACCCTTTGTTCCTCAGCCCCTTTTTAAGCCAAATTTCTGAGAGAAGTTTCCACAATTCATATAACCAACTCAGGCAATCTAGCTTTCATCCCTGTTCTTCCACTGAAAGTGAATTACAATAAATGCACCAACTTCCTTCACATTAAACTCAAGGCCACTTTTTAGTGTTCCTGAATCACTTTGCCTGTTAGCAGCACTGAATATTCTCAAATGTTTTCTTCCTTATTTTGTGATACAATACAGTCTCTTGAATTTTCTCCTCTTTGGATAATCCCTATTACTCATATCTTCCTCATCTTACTCCTTAAATGTGGGTGAGCCTAAGGGTTTATCTGAAGCCAATGTAAACTCTTGTGAACATTAGATCCATATGTCAGATGCACTTGGATGTTTCCAAAGCACTACAAACTCAGTAAAAATGAACTAGAGAATGAAGACCTAACAGTGGAAATGTACTCTCCATCTTAGTAAACTGTGTCAGTAGAAAATATTTAATTTTTTGAGCGTGAAAACACTACACTATATATAGTCCAAGGAGAGGTAGCTTACAGTAATATAAAATATATCTAAGTCCAAATCCTAGGACTGCCAGAATTTTTCTATCAACTGTTTCATCTAAAAATACTATTATATTCCTGTCATACAAGCAAGAAAGCTCCAGGTTTAAATCATATTTACTGCCAATCTTATATCAGCCTGCTAATGGCATAGGAAAAAGCCTTTTAGTAATAATATTTTCAGGAATAATCGTTAAAACTCTCTAATTTCCACTCAAACAACAGAATGGAATTTCACAGCTGACAGGGGCCTTAGAGATCATAAAACAAATTTTTCCTTTTATCGATTAAAAAAATGAAGTCCAATGTTAATTTCTCTCAAGGTCCTTTAGCTGTTTTTCACAAACTCTGACTCAGAAATCACATTTCTCTCAGAAATCAATTGACTATATTCAGCTAGCTACATTCTCTCTTATTTTTTTTTTTTAATTTTTTTTTCAACGTTTATTTATTTTTGGGACAGAGAGAGACAGAGCATGAACAGGGGAGGGTCAGAGAGAGAGGGAGACACAGAATCGGAAACAGGCTCCAGGCTCTGAGCCATCAGCCCAGAGCCTGACGCGGGGCTCGAACTCACGGACCGCGAGATCGTGACCTGGCTGAAGTCGGACGCTTAACCGACTGCGCCACCCAGGCGCCCCAATTCTCTCTTATTAACTAACTAAAACTAACTACATTCTACCAAAGTTTACAACATTGTAAATAACTGGCTTGTCAAGGCCCATGTGAAAAGGTAATAAGGCTGTGGCTCTCTTACAATACATTCAATAATGGTGGTCACTGTAATATTCTATTCTTAAAGGATGAACTTAAAGGACACATTCTTGAAATGCCTTTGCTGGTGAGATGACGGGTTTGCCACATTCATTCTATAGTCTCAGTCCACTCATGACTAAAGGTATCTGCCATATAAATGGCTGAAACTGGAGATGTAGTCTACAGCTCAGGAAAATAATTTATCCCTAGTTATGGGAAGGGTTATTTGACTTAGCTCCAAGACAGCAAAGCTTGTGGGCAAACTTTCACTGTCATGAAAGGCTATTATATCCCTGTGGACATGAATTGATAGGGATAAATCAACCTTAATGGGTTAAAGCAGCCCATATAAATTATATGCTTGAAGTGATAACCAGTTGTGGTGGACTAAATATCGTACCCCCAAATGATGTTCAGGTGCTAATCCCTGGAACCTGTAAATATTTCTGTATGTG